TATATTAGAGGGCTTCAATGACGGCTCACAAGCCCCTCGTATTCTCGATGTGCACCTCTCCCGTTTCGAAGGAGGCAGCACGGGTGGAGAAAACTGACCGCACATGTGCCTGTGCAAACAGGACTCACGGCACAATGAACGAGGGCAGCATGTCGGCGACCAAGGGCGCAGGCGAGGGGCATAGGGCTCCACGAACAAGCATAAAGTGCTTGTAAGCACAAGTTCGGAACGTAGGTTTAGGGCTGGGGATGCAGTGTGCACTCTATGCTAATTCCCTGAGGGCCCATCTGCAAGATCGGAGCATAATGATACTGCTTGGGCACCTGGGCCCTGAGGCGTTCCTACAAGGGGGGGGGGGGGGGGGGGGGNNCGCGGGTGGCGGGGCTTGGGGTCAACATAGGGGCGTCAACAAGCATAAGACAGTTTGGGGGTGTCGCTTTTGTGCAGCTTTGTGAGGACCTCCAAGTATCTTTTCCTACTACAAGGCATTCAGACCCCTATCGCTGGAGGGTGCGGGGTTTAGAGATCGCAAGGTTGCACTGTAAGGCTGCGACGGACGTGGCCAGTCGTTATCTCGCCAGCGACCTGCAAATGCACAGAGTCACGAGCAATGTGCAGCACACATTCTGAGCCTTTTGCAGGAACAAGGCTTCAACCCAGGCCTACTGGTTTAGGGTTCAGGGTTTAGGGATTCTAGATGGCAAGTAATGGAGCTCGATGGTTGCAAAGCCGCAAGGGGAAAAAAGAGAGGTCTGAACAAACAGTTGTCGTATTCCCTTATCATCTGTACAGAGTTGGAGGGAGGCCAAGGATCTAAGTCTCCATCACATTGAATGACTCCAAGAGGGGGGGGGGGGGTTGGAGACAAGAACTGTGGGAGGCCCCAAACCGTGACCTTCAGCCAGGTATCACAAGCCCTAGATTCCAAAATTTCTGGGGCTGAGAACTGAATGTCGGCTTGGGGCTGAGAGTTTATAGTTCAGGGCTGCGGGTTTAGGCTTTTGGGGCGCCAGGTTCAGGCGTTCCTGTCGGCTCTTGGCTTTTGAATTCCAAATCCATTTAATTCGACACAGATGCCCGCGCCCATTCCAACATATCTTCTGGCTTCGATAGAGTTGCAATACGGTCGAGGCACTTCAAAAGGCTTGCCGTGTGTCTGGTATTTCGTGTACATGCCCACACACACACACACANNATATATATATATATACATATTTAGATGTCCCATTCTGTCTGTGAATATATATATATATATATATATGCGTACGTTTCAGATGCTGTATAGGCTTGGTTCTTACGTGTTTCAGAGATTGTCTCTTCGTTAGTTTATCATATGTGTACTTTCTCTTAACATTGTGTGATTTAGCCTTATAATAGAGTCTCTTCTCCCACCTTTGGAAATGTATATGAGGAAAAACATGTGTGTATATATATATATATAAGTCTATTGCTACAGAAGAAGATACATTTAGCTAGCATTTACGGATCAATATAATATGCAGGATTGAAACATAGATACATGTGGGTCAATAGGGGGTTGCCACTTTTTTGTATATATGAGACATACTCGAAAGGCTTTGGCTTGGTGCATCGAGAAGGGTATCAACGTCCTACCACCGACCAAAGCTTGCCACATGAACGTACATAACTCTCTCTCTCTCTCTCTCTCTAGATATAATATATATATATATATACACACACGCACATACACTTTATATATTTATATATATATATACACATACACAGGTTTAGATATAGAAATCGTATACATAAGGAAATAGATATATAGACATGTGTGCACAGACGCATGCATGGCTATAGAAATACGTGCGAGATTCTGTACAAACACATTTTTTGTCCCCAACTTTAGACACGGGTCTGCGCGCGCGTGCGTGTGTATGTATACATGCACACACAGCTAGGTCTTCTCTGATGTTGCACAGAAGCCCTAAACCCTCTAACCCCAATTAAACCCGGTAACCCTAAACTCTAAACCCTTAACCCTAAACTCTAAACCCTAAACCCTACAACCCTAAAGCCCTAAACCCTAAACCCCCAGCAGCTCGACGAGGTCGCCACCGGAATCCAGCTTGGAATTGGAGGCTCCAAGGTCACCTGCAATCGCCGGCTTTTGGGCCACGGTTTAGGGTTTAGGACCTGGTAATGCAGGGGCCTTAACAAATAGACTGGGGTTTTGGGGTAGATTATACTAAGCTGATCATAAGGAGCTCCCACAAGAGTATTGAGAACTATTCAGGCTTCTATATTGGGTCCGTCAGGCTCAGACGGGGTGTACCGTAAGAGAGTAAGCACCCCCAAGGCCCCGAATTCTAATCCGAAGATAACTACGCCCTTTACCCGAGCTTCAAACACCCTAACCCTACACCCTAAGCATCCCTAAACACTACATGCCCCAAACTCTGCAAGCGCTACTCCCACTGGGCCATGTCCTTATGAACCCTAAACCCTAAACCCTTAACCCTAAAACCCTAAATCCTAAACCCCAAACCCTAAAACCCTAAACCCTGAACCACAAACCCTGAACCCTAAAACTCAAAACCCTAAAGCCCTGAACCCTGAAACCCAAAACCCTAAAACCCCGAACCCTAAAACCCTAAACCCTGAACCCTAAACTGCGAGGGGTTTGGGGCTCGGGGCTCGGCATCTGGTGGTCTCTGCAACGCCTTCGCTCTCTCTACTACGGTTTAGGGTTTAAGGGTTTGGGGTTTAGGGGTTTAGGGGTTTAGGGTTTAGGGTTCAGGGGTTTAGGGGTTTAGAGGTTTTGGGGTTTTGGGGATTAGGGTTTAGGGCTTCGGGTTCAGGTTTCAGGGTTTAGGGTTTGGGTAGGATTATTACAATTATTCCTATTATCACTGGTTATCACTCTGCCTAATCACATATGATTATTCCTACTAGTATCATCAGTCTTCGTAGAGTACTCTTAGTAAGAGAATTGGCGCAGGTATTGGTGTTGGTATGAGTATTGGCATTCGCATTATGTACTCGTATTAGTGTTGGTGCTCCCCGTCTCCTGGTGTTGATTGCTGCTGTTGTTTTCTATATTGTTGTTGCTATTCTCATTGTTCTTGTCTTTACTTCTATGAACCTACATGACCAACCGGCGTCCGTAGCTGGGGGCTGAGGATCACCCTGGGGCAGGGATCAGTACATGATGAGTAGAAGCCAGCATTGCGCATTAGCTTCAATATTTCGCGGGAGAGCAAAGTCGGAGGAGTTTAGGATGCGGTTTACGGCTAAGGGATGTCGAACCAGGCAGGGAACCCTGAAGGCATTGAAACTCCGTACTCGCACACCTACTTTTTGTAGGTTCTTAATATAAGTCCTAATATGGCATTTATTGGGATCCTACCAAAAGAATAGGTTCTGGTGGGTTAAGGTACATCCCAAGCTCTCACGTCGGAACGACGAGCCTTGATCTCGTTGGCAGCGGGGTCGATCCACTGTTCTGCAGCGACGGCTCAGCATGGAATAGGGTTTAGGGTTTTAGGGTTTAGGGCTTGGGGAAAACAATCAGGCACACTAAACAACATCCCTAAACCTACACCCCAACCCCTAAACTTTACCCTTCACAATGGAAAGGACCCGCAGAAGGCACTGCAGACTCATAGATCCTATCCTAGAGACGCCAAAAACGCATGGCTCGCAGAGACGTTCCCGTGAAGCGTGGGGGCTCCAATTCACCGGCACTGGTTTGAATGGCGATTGGGGGTTTCGGGTTTTGAGGTCTGAGGTCTGAGGGTTAAGGGCCAGAGCCCGGCTGCTGAGGATGCTGAAAGTAGCTACGGACTCGAAGACATCTATGATGCTTAGATACCCCGTCGATGACGAAACCCAGGCTCCCTTCAACAAACCGAAGCCCTGCAGACCCAAATGCGCCTACGTCCTCATTGAAGACCATGACAGTGTGCTTCTGATTCTTTGCGTCCTCATCGTCATCTTCCTGGGATAGAAACAGTTTTGCACAGATGGCTCGACCTGGTCAGCCCCCAGCACGAAAGGCTTTTCACAGAGCAGACACATCAAGTTAAAGCTTAAGAGCCTGACACCCATGAGCTGCAGGCCGTGAGCCAAGCCTGATCCCCGAACCCTAAACCCTAAACCCTAAACTCCAAAACCCTAAATCCTTAAAACTCAATCCATCCGACCCCCAAGCTGCCGGGCAGCAGACACTCAGCCCCAAACCCTAAACCCTAAACCCTGAACCCTAAACCCTAAACCCTAACCCCTTGAAAACGCCTGCCACCCCGGAAGAGTCTTGTTCAATCCTAGGATTTCTTCACCCCCCAAAACACAATATGCTATAGATTATAATTGTACTTTGTTCGTATGTACATTCGCCATGAACTTACTATGCGTGAGCTCCTTTAAGGCCACGAAGCCCTAAACCCTAAACCCTAAAACCCTAGCCCCTAAACCCTAAAACCCTGAACCCTAAAGCCTAAAGCCCTTAAGCCCTAGACCCTAAACCCTAAACCCTGAAAAAAGCTCGATGACGCATCAAAGTAACCCCTGCGGTGGTATCCGTCACCATGCTCTTCGGGGTGTCGACCTCCAGGTTTGGGGTTAAGGGTTTGGGGTTTAGGGTTTGGGGTTTAGGGTTTGGGGTTTAGGGCTTAGGGTTTGGGGTTTGGGGTTAAGGGTTTAGGGTTGTGGCTTTAGGGCTTGGGGTTTGGGGTTTGGGTTTTGGGTGCTTCGGATCTCGACGTCTGAGGCGGTGTCGCGCCTTGTGGGTTTAGGGATTCAGTTGGGGGCATCCTCCATGAGCTCCGTATCTGGGTTCCAGTATAAAGAACCATAAGGGACATCTTAACAGCTTCCCAAAGTGCCACCTAGGCACCTAAAAGCCCCTTGCAGCCATAGCAGCCTAAACCCTAAACCCTAAACCCTAAACCCTAAACCCTAAACCCTAAATCCTACCTTTAAGCCGTAGCAAAATAACCCCTTGGAGGGTCCCTGGTTGAGGCTCAGCTCTCATACCCCAGAGCAGCCGGCAACCCAAGGTTATTAAAATTCAAGCACCTTTGTAGCATCAGTTTTTGGTATGAAAAGGGGTCCCTTGAGAGGTTCCTATATAGCAAGGGTACTTCTACAGCATATAATACACGGGTAAGCTAAGACAAGCAAAAGCCACTTGCAACCAATTCTGAACCCTCCGATTTTCTGAAGCATGTTGTAACCTAAACCCTAAACCTTGTGACCCCTTAATGCCTAAACCCAAAACCCTTAAACCCCCAGTGCCTCCGCTTCGGTCTTCTCCTCATCGGGCGGCGCGCTGCACCAAGTGCACTCCCTGATCCCCATCACGAGCCGGGGGTGTAAGGATGAAGGTTTAGGGTTTAGGGTTAGGGTTTAGGGGTTATAGTTCAGGGTTTAGGGCGTAAGGATTGCAAGCACCGACCCTAAACCCTGAGCCCTAAGCAAGAGGGGGGTTGAGGGTTTAGGCCTTCAGGGTCGAAGGTCTTAGGGAATCAGGGTTGCAGAGCTTCGGACAGGAGGTTTGGGGTGTGTTGGGGTTAGTCCCCCTAAACCCTAAACCCTAAAACCCTAAACCCTAAGCCCCTAAACCCTAAACCCGTGGCCTAGGGCTTTGGGGTCTGAGGACGGCTTTCGAACTCAGGGCCGCACTTGGTAGGGTTTAGGGTTTGTTTGGGATTTAGGGCTTATAGGGTTTGTTTGGGATTTAGGGCTGTAGGGTGTAGGGTTTGCTTGGGATTTAGGGCTTGAGGGTTTAGGGTTTTGGGTTTGCTTGCGATTTGGGGCTTTAGGACTTTAGGGTTTAGGGTTTGCTTGGGATTTAGGGCTTTAGGGCTTAGGGGTTATGGGGTTTGCTTGGGATTTATATGAGGGCTTTAGGGTTTAGGGTTTAGGGTTTGCTTGGGATTTGGGGCTTTAGGGCTTTAGGGCTTAGGGTTTAGGGTTTGCTTGGGATTTAGGGCTTTAGGGCTTAGGGTTTAAAGGGTTTGCTTGGGATTTAGGGCTTCAGCGCTTTAGAGTTTAGGGTTTATGGGGTTTACTTGGGATTTAGGCCTTTAGAGTTTAGGGTTTACCGCAGCAGGGTTTTGGGTATGCTTGGGGAAGGGTTTGGCTCTGGGGTTTGTGGCCCAAGCTTAAAGCAAGAAACCTTTCCTACGAGCCTAAAGGCCTCCTCGCGTGCTGACCTCGTTAGTTTCGTGATTTCGGGTCACCTCGTTACTTCGGCTAATTCCGGGCGTGAGCTCTAATTTAGGCAGTTTACAAGACTGATAGATCTTAGGGTGTAGTGGTGCGATCTACATCAATAGTTCAGGTGAAGGGTTCCGGGCCCAAGCCAGGGGACACACCGCCGAGTCCTGTCTGGGCATCGTAATTTCCCTGAACCCTCCTCGCGGAAACGGGTTAAGACTACAAAAGACTACAATGTACGAAGACACCCTGGATCCACCTCCATCATAATCGCTTCCCACTATTATTAAAGCCTCCCCTAATATTAAAACTGCCGCCGCCCGGAAATTTATGGTTTTGGGCCTACAATTGAAAGTTGATTTAAAACATTAGGGGGGGCCCTAGATTTGTATGAGTTTTAATAGAGGGAAGACTACAGTAGTACTAAACCGAAAGGAAAACGGCTGTAGGGTT